TGTGTGTGTGTGTGTGTGTGTGTGTGTGTGTGTGTGTGTGTGTGTGTGTGTGTGTGTGTGTGTGTGTGTGTGTGTGTGTGTGTGTGTGTGTGTGTGTGTGTGTGTGTGTGTGTGTGTGTGTGTGTGTGTGTGTGTGTGCGTCTTTATGTCAGTGAAAGCTGACATATTCACAATAAATCCAAATATGGTCAGTATGAATCTCTGATTCTAGGGCTATTTTATTGAGTAATAAATAAGCATGTAAAACTGTTTCTGGAGATTTTTTTAAACTTACCTAAGCCACATACCTACTATGTAGGTGACAGAGAACAATTAACTTATAGAACCAGTGCAGTATATGGCACCTTTAAGCTAGACGATGTGTCACAATTGCAGACATGTATAAAATACTAAAGACACAGACTTTAGTAAAAGTACAAGTGTCAAAAAAGTGTCAAGTGTCTATCAAAAAGTGACTTGAATAGAAGTAGAAGTGCTCTTTAAGCACCATGCTTAAGTGGAAGTACTAAAGTATTGCAAGTAGTTTATTTCAAAATTTACTACTCAAGTACTGAAAGTAAAAGTACTAGTATTGTGTATAGTAGTTATTAAAGAAAAGAAGTCAAAAGACATCATATTGTTTTGTTTATTTTAAATATGTTTTTTTGGGGCACATGATTAAGCAAAACGAAAATAAACAGGGCTTATGATAAAGTTTTTCTCTTGCACTTGAACCATAGATCTAACAGATTATAACAGCTTTAACACACATCTTTCAAAGTTGTGCGTCACTAAAACACTCCGTAATCCACTTAAAACGCTATTTAAACCTATTTTCTGATTGCAAATTACAGATTGTAAACGCTGTAAACGGAAGTTCTAAACATTCTACCGGAAGACGCTGGTCGCTATGGTGCCCTCCATGCAGCAGCCAAGAAAAAGGTCTAGCGTGTAGGGGTGTGAATTTACACGATTTGGTTCGGTTACGATTATCATGCCATCGATTCAGTTCAATTCGATATCTAAGCATTGACGATGCTTTCCATACATAGATATTTTCTTCACAACACAAGAAATTTATTTATTAAAATCTATAAATATATTAATATTTATATATTATTTCTTTAACTGCCTGCTCTACCAAATGGTTGACCATATTTTCACTGACATATCTTATTGAGAGGAGTACCTAACTTAACTAAATCTGATTGAGCCATCTCTACCACTTGGTTGAATGTATGTTATGGCAAAAAAAAATCCAATAGTTGTCACTTACTCAATCAAAAGCACTCGTCACAACATTGCTTCTACATTGAAATCAAAAACAAGGAAATCAGTCCTAACATCATGTGACCATTTCAACTGTTTTAGTTAAAAATTTGCAAGGAAAGCATATTTTTTGACATCTTACCCTCTAAGAGCCCTCTAACTTTACATAGTTATGTCACTTAACTTATGCATTAATTTTTCAAAAACAAGCTCGACCAAATGGTTGATTTGTCACTTTATGGTAAAGATAGAAAAGCAAAACTAATGATTTCATATCATGCATTTCAGCAGTCTGAATGGACTGTTTGCTGAGAAATATCAACTTTTTATCATTCACAGAATAAATATGACACAGCTTGTGATTTATTCATGAATATACTGAGATAATTTCTTAAGTATATATATTTTTCGACACTTTTAGGATATTTTTGGAGTAAATATAATGAATTTTTGAAACTTATGTGTGGAAATCACAACTTTCAAAGATGATTACCTCTTAAATGGCAAATACTTGTGTACCAGCATTAGCACAATAGTAAGCAATTAATATTTGATTGTTTGTTTGTTTTTGTAGATATTTGATGGATGTCAATAGTTTCTATGGTACAAGAACTCACATCGTCAGGCACTTTTACCAGAAAATCACTTCACTGATGAGATAATTCAGCATGTTCACTCACATACTGTACATACACTCTCATTTTCTCACACACACACACACACACACACACACACACACGTACATCTTCTGGAAGCACTTGTAAAACTAAACTAAACAAGCTAACTAAATTATTAAATATTTACATTACTAGTATTTTATGGCTTATGGCTATGATTTAGTATTCAAAAATTTTTTATTTTGATTATGTTTTTAATTAAATTAGTCTTACAATTCATATTTCCTGATTTTTATAGTATATTTTTTAATTTTGGGACTTTTGCCATAACCCAACATCTCAACTATTTGGTAGAGGCTGATATTTTAGAAATTATGGGATATTTTGGAAAAGAAATTCATTGATTATGTTAACAATCATTAAGGAGATTATTAACGACATCAGGAGTTAAGAAATGCTATAAAAAATCATCGTTTTTTCTTGGTCTGACAGTTATTGGGTTATTTGTAATACAATTTTATCCTTTAATACAGCAGTAAGATATGTGAACTAATAAACTAAGTAAATATTATCCCGCTTGCTTTTTGAGCGCTGACAGGCGAGGTCTTACACCTCTATGATTGGTTATTGTCTTCACCTTCGCAACAGAAAGGGCAGCGTTCAGCTTTAGAAAGGAAAGCGCTGTTCACTAATGGCAGGAAGAACAGCAGTGGTGACAGTCTATATGTGCATAATTCAAGTAATCTGTAATAGATACAGTAGAGAAAACTTGCACATCAAGCACGCTCATGTCAGGATCCACAAGTATCACTTTAACAGCCAAGAGGAGAGGAAAAGTTACCTCACAAACAGGCCAGCGGATCAAATGTCCAAAGTGAGAGAAAGGCAGAGATGGAGTTTTACAGCATAGTTAAATAGCGGCTCATGTGCTGTGCAGCCTTCACTCGCCTCCGTCCTTCACCATAGTATTGCGACATCGCGCACAGGAGATAAATGATATCAGTACATAATAACCGGTTATGATCTATTACATACTGAACCGATATCAATCATTTTGACACCCCTAGTAACGAGTAACGATGCAGCACATAAAAAATCTATCGGAGTAAAAGTATTAAACTCATCAAAAATATGTACTTGAGTAAAAGTGGAAGTAGGAGAAAAAAACAATACTCTAGTAAAGTACAGATTCTGCCTTTTAGTACTTAAGTACAGTAGTGAAGTAGTTCTACTTCGTTACTATGCATCTCTGCACAATTGTAACAACAAACATGCTAAAAACTGTGGTCAAACACAACCAATCTCCACAGTCATTTGGAACAGAACCACAGGGAGCTTTGTGTTAAAACAGGTGTACATGTTATTCCTTAAAGCTGATTTATACTTCTGCGTCAAGCATATGCGTATGCTATGGTGCAGCCTACGCGTTGACGCATAGCCCTTCGCCGTTGCCGTCGACGTCGCTGACGTGCACCTCTCAAAAAATTTAACTACACGTCGCAATGACACGTAGTGCAAGCTCTATGATTGGTCGGCTTGGTAGCGCTGACAAATCTGGGCAGGACTGAGAGCGGCACGAGCCGGATGGAGCGATTTTTACAAGTGTGAAGTCCCGTGAAGGAGCACCGGATGAAAAGTTTTGTTTTGTGTTTACCTCAAAGTTAAAGTTGTTCCACGTCTGCCGGTTTCTGCCTCAAAATGAGCGAGTTTCAGCCGCTTGCACATTCAGGAAGCGTTCAGAAAAAAACTTAACACCTGCAAAGAAACTTAACACAGAGAAACATTAACACCTCACTGCCAACTAGCATTTCGGAAGTGTTAATGCAGACCAACAGAGACAGCGCAACGAAGTATAAATGCACAGCAACGCGCGTTGCATGTGCCGTGGGTTAGGCTGGTCACTTGACGCAGAAGTATAAACTAGGCTTTAATGTTTATATGTTAATAGGGAAGGAGCGATTGACTGAATTTCCTATTTACCATACTTTAATTCATCATAATTATTACATTGTAAAGCCCCCGCAAGACTTTGTTCCTCTTGAATGGAACAGAACTATTGCAGGTTGGAGTACCTGAAAAAAAACTGCTCAGTCATCACACTGTTCGTGGCATAGCCATTGTCATTTATATAAATAATTGCCCACTTTTGAAATAAATGTATTATATTGTATTTTAAATATGTGATTTATATATTGCCATATATAAGATTTCTAGAGGCAGAAGCACATGACTTGCAATAAAAAAAATTTGTGCTATATTAGAATATTAAGTGTGTGTGTGTGTGTGTGTGTGTGTGTGTGTGTGTGTGTGTGTGTGTGTGTGTGTGTGTGTGTTTGTTTGTGTGTGTGTTGTTGTTTTTACTTGACTGTTTCAGTTTTAATTATTACCTTGTATTTCAATGTATTATTTCAAATAATCAGAATTATTACATTTTAAAGAAAAGCCACAATATCAGATATTTTCACTATTAATTAATGCAAACTTAGTAATGCAAATTACTACCAAGAAAAATCATGAAACAGGGCAAAGCCAAGACAGACAGCAGATCTTGTTAACAAAATTGTGATTCATTTCTTCATTCATTCATTTTTTTCGGCTAAGTTCCTTATTAATCTGGGGTCACCACAGCAGAATGAACCGTCAACTTATCCAGCATATGTTTTAAGCAGCTAATGCCCTTTCAGCTGCAACCCATCACTGGGAAACAGCTATACACACTCTTTAACACACATACTCTACACATACTCCACACAGAAGTGGCAACTGACAATCGAACTTCTTGCTGTGAGACGATTTTGCTACCCACTGCGCCACCATGCTGACCACAAAAAAAAATGATATTTCAATAAATTTTTACAGTTAAACTTGAAGCCCTAAATTATTAGCGCTTTATTTGGGTGACAAGTGGGGCACATAACTTTTCCCTACCTTCAATGTCAGCAATGACAGAAACAGAGCACTGTAAACTGAAGCACTGTAAAATACTATTTGAATTTCAATTTTTTTATGTTTGTTTAATTTACTTTGATTTTCAAACAACACCAAGTTCTTATGTTGAGTAAAAAAAAAGTTCTTATGTTGAGTAAAAAAAAAAAAGAAAATGTGATTTACCTACCCTTTCTCTTCTTTTTTCAGCTTCTAAAGAGCAGCAGAAGGCAGAGTCTACTGAGCCGCTTAAAGCTGTCAAACCTGGACAGGAAGACGAAGGCTTTATTCAAGCCAAGGGTCAGAGTGCAGTTTCTGCTGAAGTCAAAGGTCAGAAATTAGTTTAGTAAAGAATTCAATTCATCCTTATTTTTTTATTGAGCTTTAACAATGTAGATTGTCAAAGCAGCTTAACATAGGAGTTCAAGTAAATTGAAACTTTCTTCAAACAGTTTTCAGAGTTGAAGTTCAGTTTAGTTCATTTCTATGTGGTTTAATTTTTACTGCTGAAAGTCCAAACACTGAAGAGCAAATTCAACGATGCAGAGCTCCACAAGTCCCAAATACAGAAAGTCAGTGGTGAGGAACCAGAGATGGGGGACTCGAGTCACATGACTTGACTGGAGTCAGACTTAAGTCACAAAATTTAGGACTTGAGACTTGCTTGACAAATATCCAAAAAAGTCTCTACTTGACTGTCATGACTTGAGACTTGACTTGGACTTAAGTTAAATGACTCAAAATAACTTGTTTTTGTTAAATACATTACCGTTTGTAATATATTATGCTTTATGCATTTGAAAACAAAACAACACCGAAAGTTCTAAGTCACGCACGTGCAGTATTAACACCTCATCAGTTTTCAGATTGGTTCGAAAGATAGGTTCTCTGTACTGTTGATGATTTTTTAAGTCAGATCGGTTCGAAAGATAGGTTCTCTGTACTGTTGATGATTTTTTTAAGTGGATAACTTGGTATATAGTATTTTTTTCATGACAGAGGAAGTGCAAGGCAAGTTAAAAAGTAAGTTACTTTAAGTAATTTGTGGATTAGCTTTATTGGAAATGCAAACCATTTAAAAAGAATCAGTTGGATTTGCTGAAGTGGATCAATCGGTTCATTAAGAAGAACCACTTTAAACGATTCATTAGATTGATTAGAACGATTCAGTTGCTGTCCGGCCGTCAGATAATGCGGTGGCAGAAGGCTCTTCGTCTTGGCTAATTAAGTTTTATACTTTTTGAATAGTTTAACTCAGTGCTTCCCACACATAGACTTTACTTGGGCGCACTAAATTGTGTCGGCCTAATATAACCAAACAACCGCGATCGATGTAGTGGAAAATCCTCTCTCGTTACACATTTCGATCTGTGCACTCGTGAACTGTCAGGACCTCTGCACTGCAGACCCACAGAGACGTATCTTTTAGGGTCTTAAAAATCCTCAGGCTGGGTTTTAAAATGTTCGGGATTCGGCTTTTGCTTACTAAAGCTATTGTTCATTAATCATATGCGTTTTTGCATTATCTTTTTATTTAAGCCTATTTTCTGCTTGGCTTTGCAGCTGACTGCCACCAGAGAAACATTCAATAAGTCTTTCTTGAATCTAAACGACTATATCTAATACTACTATATACTCGGAATGACTGTTCTAAACTGGCTGCAAAATATACATACACCATTAGTAATTGTTAATCAAAGCATTTGCCTTATTTAAATAATCTACACACATTAATCGTGTCATTATTGTTGTCCAGTTTTTTATCAGGTTACTCACTTTACCTCAATAAACTCCCCACTGGAAGGGTTTCAAGGCAAGTACGATGGATACATCTTGTGGAGTTTCAGGGTACCACGAGAGGTCCACACTTTTATTTTTACGAGATACCTCCTTGTATCAACTTTCACCTTCATCGTACCAACACCACACACAACAAGTGAGATCGGTTCACCATTCAGTCCGGGTCTCTCAGCCTGAACATCCAAGCACTTGATGCATGCTTTTAATCCTTTTTACTTGAGACTTCTTCTCTAATAGATTGGCTTTTCTGAAAGTTTTACAACGAAACAGTTTGCCTCCGTGATTTCCATCACCACACAAGGCATAGGGTATTTGCTTGGAGTCCCTTTTAATTTCACTCGCTGAAGTCTTAGTGAACGACTTTGTTGTCTCTCTCCATCTATCACCTGGTTTTACCCGGTGGTTTGACTTTTCAGGAGCATTAGAACGCCATTGTTTGCTGGGTAACAACTGCTCCAGCCTTACAAGCAACGACTTTTGGTCTTCTAGGAACATCAAAAGCCTGTTGAAACGGTTTCCGGAATGGACGTTGCTCGCAAGGTTTTTCACACACATGAGCCACTCTCTTTTCATAACATCAGGGAGCTTACCTCCAAGGACCAAATCAACAGTTGATTTCGCACTGCGTCTTCACACCCCAGGTCTGTGAGGTCAACGACTGCCCTCTCCACTGCTAAAATCAGCTCCAATGTTTCTCATGGCTGATGATTCTTTACAGCAGGCCATGATTGGAGCTCCAACACAATCTCTTCAGCTGTTTGTGCTTTATCGCCATAACTGTCCTCCAATTCTCTGAAGATATCATTTGCATCCCTGCAGTGCACCAGCCTGAGTTCACTTTTTACAGGCTCACTAATACTGTCCAGTAAGTGAAGTTTCTTGCATTCCCTCGAACCTGTAGGTTCTGCTTGCATCTGAATACTTTCCCATTCAGCCTTCCAACGCCAATAACCTCTCCTGTCCCTGGAGAATTTTAGTAAGCTTATCGGTGTGAGCCTTATTTTTGGTCTAGCCCACTGAAAGCTGTTTTCACCACTGGCATAAAAACCAGGGCTACTATATGGCACATTATTACATTGCCCCATTTTAAGATCAACAGGTGGAGCAGCCTGATCTCTCAACAGTTGTGGCATGTGGGCTGGAGTTTGAGGTAAAGTAAAACTAACACCAGCAGACTGATCGTTTATAGAAGAGGTAGCAATAACATGTGTTGCTGGCTGGGTATAGGTGACGCTACCTGCAGCTGTAGGGCTATCGCTTTCCATTGAAACATGCCAACTGACTGTGTCATCGCCTTCCTCATCAACAGCCTCTGCCTCCTCATCATCAACTTTTATTTCTGCATCATTCTTCCTCATGACGGCATCCTCATGTCCGTATGCCCAGCCGTCCATCAGTTGCTCTTTATCCTCTCTCAATGATAAAAAAGTGACCATTTATTTCTTCCATGTGGCCGATAATCCCTCCAAGCATACACAGCCTCCTTGAGTTTACTGAGCTTTCTATCTAGTTTACTACTCTCGACCTTTTGCTGTGTCCATGGCAATTCACTTGTGCCAAGAGCCTCAGCTCGATCAAAAGCGGACTTGAACTGTGCCACAAGAGCGTCTATGTCTGGCTCTGCATACTTAGCCCACAGTAATTCCATGATCTTGCTCTCAGTTTCAAGGAAGTTTTGCTCATTGGCATCTCTTTTCACCAAAGCGTCCCGCAATTCACTGTCTTCACTTGTAGGGTCTCTGGCTTTGTGCATCAACATACTCATTACTGGCATCAAGAAGCTTGTCATAATCATCCCTTAATTTTACTAACTCTTCAGACAGTTCAACTTCACATAACTTAGAGGCGGTTTACCCTAGTTGTAGGGTTCGTTGTGCATTTGAGCGTTTTTGCTTTAAACTCTCCAGATCTGGTTTGTCATCTGACATTTTGCTCCCTTTTGTTATTAATCCTGGTGCTCAGAATCACTTAAATCACAGTTTTAGCAAAAGATTCATTCAGAAGTACCGATTCAAAAGACTCGCTCAGAAGAGTCGACTCAGACTCACTCAGAATAACTGACTCAAAAGATTTGTTCAACTGTCGCAGGTAAAATTTGCTTTATTAGCCCCGCAGCAGTTATTATCTACGCAGTTTTACTCATGGTTGTATAAACTGTTTAGTCCTTTAACGGCCTTGTTGGCCTTTGGCTTGTTTTCTCCTCAGAAAATGGATCTCCGATCCCGATGACATCCGATTTTCCTCTGCTCTGCGTCTGTGAACCTCTAGCACGGCTCTGTTGGCGGTTTATAACTGTCCAGTTTTTTTATCAGGTTACTCACTTTACCTCAATAAACTCCCTAAAAAGGGTTTCAGGGCAAGCACAATGGATACAACTCGAGCCACTGCTGAACTTTTATTGCGCACACATACACAATGTACATCCACTAAGTACACAGCCGTACTGACGTTACACTTGTCTGTCAAACTTCGACGTCCTTCCTTGTTTAATAACAGTTGTTAGGAGCTAGTAACTAGTAGCTAGCAGCTAGCTTGGATATAAACCGCAAGCGTACCGGCCCCGAACAATAACTGACAGAGAGAATGAAAATGAAACTTGCATCTTAATTTATACACAGACACAACCTATTGGCTAGAAACGGTAATACCCATCTCCTTAATCTATCCGGACTATGGTATTTATGAAAATACAACATAAATGTGCCTGTATTTAAACGTACATGGCAAATAAACATACCTATGTTTGTTCTTCAAATACTCTGAAACATAATAGCATCTATTACTAATAATATACATATTATAAAAAATAGTGACACATACTGGAAAGTCCTACAATTGTAGTTTTTAGAGATATTGTCTGTTTTTTTTTCTGTCATTTAATTTTCATTTGCTGTATATTTTATTAATTTGATAATGTCATCAGACTATTTTACATAGGCTATTTTATATACATATCTAAAATGCTTTGGCATTCAAGTTTGCTTTGAACTTGAAAGAGAGAGAGAAGCAGATTTGACCCGTCAGTTTGTGCACATGGCTCCTGAATAGCATAAAAGTAAGAGAAAGTGGATGTCTTTTTTTTAACCGTTTTTTTTTTACTTTAACCCATTGAAAACATACAGTGTATAGCATTGTCATAATAAATGAAATTGTTGTTAAAACTGAAATTATGTTTTGTTTGTCACATATAGTTAACTATTTATGTGATGTGGGTAAATGGTGTTTAAGTTAAGCTTTTGACATGTTAGGGGTTAACTTTAATCATAAAATGAAAAAAGATTTCATTAAAACATTTAGTTAAATGCTAAATTCCAGTTTCTTTTTCTCACTTACATAATTTTTTCTGCCAATACATATTTAAAAAAGAAGCATTAAGTTAGGCAAAACAAGAAAAAAAAAATCTCTGTAATGTATGTGTGAAATGTCATATATATATATATATATATATATATATATATATATATATATATATATATATAAAATCTTGAATCTAAAGGTTTAAAATTGTCTTTAGAGTTCATTCTTAGCAATATATATTACCAATTAAAGCATTTTTTATTGGAGTTATATATATATGACTTGCACATGTGTGACTTACTCCCATCTCTCTGAGGAACAAAACTTCACCAAAGAAAACCACTTATGTGTTTTAGTGGATTTTACTCTGCTGACTTTACAACCTTATTCACATTTTTTCTTTGGCATTTCAGGAAAGGAAAAGATGCGGATGAAACCACGTAGCACACATGAGCTCTCTGTGGAGCAGCAGTTGTACTATAAAGAAATTACTGAAGCCTGTGTGGGATCCTGTGAAGCCAAAAGAGCGGTTTGTGCTTATTTGTATTTTTACATGTCCTCAACAAGTTTTTTACTGGTAATTGTGATTAAATTGAAAACATTTGCTGCCTATTAAACTATATATATCATTAAATGTCATTAAAGGGCATACTCCATATCATGTATAGAATTATACATTCATTACAATTCTTTCTGAAATTGATTCTGATCGTAGTTTAACCTAAAACCACTGTAAAGGGTACCAAAAAAGTGGTACATAACGGTTTGCTTTTTTTGTACCTTTGACAGTGGAAATTGAAAAAAAGACCGTACCATACCATAGTATACCGAACTGTACACTCAGTGCTAATGGGCTATTACAAGACACTTTGATAACTGTACAGCTTGGTTGCTGAAAAAAGTACTAGGTGTTGTACAAACGTCTGTGAGATATTTAAAAGAGATAAGCCACTGGGATCTTAGCATGTTAGATGTAGTCATTCTTAACAACTTTGACTTAATTAATGTTGTCAAGAAAACTGTTCATTACATACAACCCCAATTTTAAATAATGATGTGAATTGAAACTTGGGCAAAAACTTAGGAATAGTTCGGAATTGTTGAGCATGAAGGAAAACCACTGGTCAGCCAAAAAGATTCTGGCAAACTGTTCTACGTCTTAGAAGGGGGGCGCAGTTCCACACCAACCCTGTTTACAGCAGAAATGGCGAGCTGTTGACCTCGACTGGGGATGGACGGTGGATGAAATACCTTGAGGATCTCCTCAATCCGACTTACATGTCTTCCATTGAGGAAGCAAAGACTGGGAATTCAGGGGTTGACTCACCCAAGCTAAAGTCACTGAGGTTAGTTTCCAAGCTCCACAATGGCAAAGCAGCTGGGGTGGATGACATGCACCCTACGTACCTCAAGTCTGTGTTCTCTGTGGCATTCTGTGGGGGGTGCTCTAGGAGTATGGGGTCCGAGTCCCTCTCTTAAGGGCTGTCCGGTTCCTGTATGAACAGAGCAAGAGATTGGGTTACATTGCAAACATACAAAGCCATATACTGGAAAAAAAAACTAAGCTCAGAATCAATTAAAGACAGAGAGTCTCATTGCATTCAGAAAATAGTGAAACACATTGTAATTTTGTGAGCTGATAGCCTCATGGGCAGTTTTCTGACCTATAGCATTTAAAATTTTGGTTCAGATTTTTGTTCCCGATCCCAAAATAAAATGTTTAATTGCAATTTGTTGCATTAAAGATGTTTCTGATATTTTTACCACTTGTTTATGCATGTAGGCCATGATTCAATTTCATTTATATATACGTCAATGTGATTACTCTACCAGGAGGCACTGCAGAGCATAGCCACCGACCCAGGGCTGTACCAAATGCTGCCAAGGTTCAGTACCTTCATCTCGGAGGGTGTAAGTACATTCATAGCTACTTATCTGCAACAAATGTTTTTTAACCAGTGTAAAATGAATACAACCAGTACAATACTTTTCCAGATACATAAAGATTCGTGTGTGTGTGTGTGTGTGTGTGTGTGTGTGTGTGTGCGTGTGTGCGTGTGTGCGTGCGTGCGTGCGTGCGTGCGTGCGTGCGTGCGTGCGTGCGTGCGTGCGTGCGTGCGTGCGTGCGTGCGTGCGTGCGTGCGTGTGTGTGAGTGAGTGTGTGTGAGTGTGTGTGAGTGCGTGCTTGCGTTTGTGTAGTGGGCAAAGAAAGTATCCAGAGCCCTGTAGGGGATCAACCTACGTTAAAAGATTGATCAGGGATGTATTAGCTTATTTCAAGGAATCAGATCTTGAAGATTCGACTCAATTGAGTAAGACTGAGTCAGATTAAATGCCTTACACTTTACCTACCATTTCTCTAGCAAATAGAAGACATTGAATTTTACCAGTCGTGTTTATATTATTTCCGTGGCCAATGATATTAACATAACACAGTATTACGTAAAATTTTAGCAAGGTAACAAAATCTACAGCTCGAGGCTATGACTTAGAAGCACTTAAACACAAACACAGTTCTTACAAAATGGAGCAAATATTTATTGAGCTACACTACGATACATGAGACTAACTACATAATAAGCAAACAACAAAGAAGCGCGCACACACACATACACACAGAGGCAGTTTAGACGATGCAAAATGAGTTGACAACCGTCCCAAATTACTTCTTGTACTTATTACTAGATCTTAGAATCACATCTGAGAAACCAAAAAAGGGGATTTGGATTATCTTTAACTGCTTAAGATCAATTTGCACCAAATCAGCAAGAGACGACATTTGTGCTTTGCTGAAATCTTGAGTTTCTGTCACCGGGCAGGATTCGAAGAAACATGATGCTGCTGATTGGTTGGTGATGTCCTTGGGATTCACTCGTGGGTGGAGGTTGTCCTGGGTTACCTGAGAGTCGGTTTGCAGAAGTTCTTGTGGCTTTGGCAGTCCCGAAAGTTTAGGAGGTTGCATGGAAAATTCTTGGTGACCTAATTGCATGGCAGTGCGGTGTCCGAGCAAGGCGAAATGTGGCATAGAGCAACACCTGGTGCAAGCAAGCTGATGCAAAAAACAAAGTTTTACTGTTGCAATAAGTTTTAAAGTGATCTGGTTTGGTCTATCCCCACGGCACTGTCTTCCATGAGAGCGGGTCATTCCATTGAGGGCGGGTCCATGCCCCATACCATTGTACTCATGATCAGTTATTAACAGACTGCTTGTTAACTTCAGTGGTGAAATCTTTTGTAAGTTCGTAACTATCTTACATCAAATTGTACAAAATGAATACTGTTTGTTCTACTAGTTTTTCATTTACACCAATGTATTGCAAATGTCAACAGCTTTAGTTTAGTACCAGACATCATACATTTTTAGACACATACAGAGGGTTTCATCTGCTAGGACAGTTAAAAACACATTGTTTAACTTGGTTAGTTACAATGGTTGCAATAGTATATGAGGAAAACTATGGCATATTATTCAAAGATACAGTTGCCTTAATTGTAACACTTCAAGTGATTGAAATTAACGCATATGAATGAAAGACAGAGATCCTTTGTCTCTTTAAAAGTGTGCATCTGACAGGATGTCCCACATGACCAGGGAGTCATAAAAAAAGAGTTTTCCTGTTGAAAGGCTTGTAATGCACCATTGTTAGGTGATATAATCATTTACCAAATTTGGTAAAGGGTCCCCAAAACATCTGCACACAAAGTATTATTGAATATAGTCAAATCATTTGGCTCTCTATTATCTGTATTGCAGTCCTCGAGCCAGTTTTGAATGACTGAGACAATGGGGATGAGGGGGGATTTAGGATTGGGGATTGGGGGTGTGGCGTGGCATGGCTGTTCAGACTGACACCGACACAAGGAGTCATGGTGATAATTTGTTTCTTTTAATGACAGCAGTAAAAACTGAACAATTATTTGAACTGTACAAGTGTAAAGCTAAAAGTAAACATTAATTTTTATATCTTTTTTTATCCACAAAGTGTGCAGCTTTTGTGACTGCAGTATATCTTTATGGGCTTCTGGAACAACATTTGAAGTACACTACTAGTACATTGATGTTAGTATCAGAGATGGGGGACTCGAGTCTTGACTTGACTCGAGTCAGACTTGAGTTACAAATTTAGGACTTGAGACTTGCTTGACAAATATCCAAAAAAGACTCTACTTGACTTGGACTTGACTGTCATGACTTGACTTGGACTTGAGTTAAATGACTCGAAATTACTTGTTTTTGTTAAATACATAACAATTAAAATATATATTGCTGGATGCATTTGAAAACAAAACAAAACCAAAAGTTCTAAGTCACGCATGAGCAGTATTAACACCTCATCAGTTCTCAGATCGGTTCGAAAGGTTCTCTGTACTGTTCCAAATAAAGCACTGCAACTGATTCCTGACTCGAGTTGATGATTTTTTAAGTAAGTGGATCTTTTTTTCCATGACAGAGGAAGTGCAAGGCAAGTTAAAAAGTATTCAAAAGGATTCATTAAATTGATTAGAACGATTCAGTTGCTATCCGGCCATCAGAAAATGCGGTGGCAAAAGCCTCTTCATCTTGGCTAATTGAGTTTTAAACTTTTTGAATAGTTTATCTCAGTGCTTCCCATACATAGGGCCCTATCATACACTCGGCACAATGTGGCGCAAGGCGCGGCGCAATAGTCTTTTGCTAGTTTCAGCTTGGCGCAAGAGTCGTTTTGAGGCGTTGCGCTACGCTGTTTAAATAGCAAATGCATTAGCACTCATATGTGCACACTGCTGGCGCGTAGATTTTTCATTAGACCAAAACAAACCCGGTCTAAACTCCAGCGCAGAGTTGCGCCTCACTTACGCACTGCTTAATAAGCACAAGAGAGTAATAGGCAAAAATCTTTACATATGAAAAATTTTAAATATTAAGGATATATATAGGATATAATAAGAATAGACTTTTATGTCTTTTTCATCTCGGGAGGCTTTTTCAGTTCATTCATAACAGTTTGCTTTTGTATAATGTTATTATTATTAGCAGTATTATTTATTATATCCAGATTTATATTTGTTTTATTAAAAACAAGCTTAGATTTGCCCACCTGTCAGGTTTTAGACCATATGGGGCACAGCATGTGTTTGAGGATATAACTCAGGTTTTTGAGCACACTTTGTTATTGTTGTTCATTTATTCGTTTGCTGGAAATTACAACTGAATTTAGAAATAGTTTTGAAATGAATAATTGCACTTAACAAACAAAATTAGTTATTTATAGACTAATTGATGTCTGTGCGTAAAGGTTTCCCTATCCAAGAGCGAATGTGAAAGTAGTTCCATTATCTCTCATTCTCACGCAGTAGATGCTCTGTTTAACAGTTTTCTGTTAAAAAAAACTGTTAACTGTTTGCTAGTGAAATTCTCATTTTTTTCCACTTAGACTTACTTTGCATCCTGTAAATAGCGAATGCGCTCTTGGCGCGACGCAACTGGCTCTTAAAGGGAATGGGAGATAAGACTCTAATTCGTTTATTTTCAAAACACACCTATAACTCATTAAGAAAATAAGCTCAACCCTTTTAGACCGTGCGCCACGGCACAAAGCAGATTTTCCCATCCTTAAATTAGCAAAAATGCGTTCTGACACGCCCTGAAAGCGTTTGCGCCCTGCGTTTTGCACTCTGCGCATGGACCGTCAAAATAGAGCCCCTAGACTTTCCTTGGGCTCACTGTTTTGTTTCTGCCTAATACAACTAAACATCCGCGATCAATGTAGTGGAAAATCCTCTCTCGTTACACGTTTCGATCTGTGCGCACGTGAACTGTCAGCACCCCTGCACTGCAGACCCACAGAGACGTGCCTTTTAGGTTAATCATATGCATTTTTGCATTATCTTTTTATTTAAGCCTATTTTTCGCAAGAGAAACAATCAATAGTTCATTCAATAATTCATTCTTGAATCTAAATGAAAACTACTATATACTCGGAGTGACTGCTCCAAACTGGCTGCAAAATGTACACACCATTAGTAATGGTGTAATCATTATTAAAGCATTTGCCTTATTTAAATAATTTACATGGTTTAATCTTGTAATTATTGTAATTTTTAGAGATATTGTCTGTTTTTTCATTTTTCTGTCATTTACTTTTTCATTTGCTGTATATTTTATTAATTTAATGATGTCATCAGGCTATTTTACATAGGCTATTGTAAAAGAAGCAGATTTGACCCATCATGGATGTCTTTTGTTTGTTTTTTTACTTTTTTTTTTTTTTTTTACTTTAACCATTTGAAAACATACAGTGTATAGCATTGTCATAATAAATGAAACTGTTGTTAAGAATAGAATTATGCTTTGTTTTAAAATAAAATTGCATTAAAACGATTTGTTAAATGCTATATTTCAGTGTTTTTCTCACATACATAATTTTTATGTATGTGAGTTAGGCAAAGTTTGGCAAAACAAGAAACCATTTCAGACCATGGATCTCAAAACCTGTCTGTAATGTATTTGTGAAATTGCATATAAATATATAAGGGAAGCCTTGGTTCTCAATATAATATTGAATTGTTCGGTACAACCTCCATGGTTCAACACGCAGCTGTTGAATTGCGGTTTTCTCGGTTTTGCATTTAAAGAAATTTATGTGTGTTTTATATCTCTTAGAATTGACTGTGTGTGCCTCGAAATTCATGAGTTGAGATAAGGAAACTCCTCCCCGGTAGTAAATATCTAAAGTTAGGGGGTGCCTGACATTGCACTGAAAGGCATGCACAACTCTCACCTTGAGATGTTTTCTACTGCGTGCGCCCGGACAGAGGCGCACAAATTGCCGGACAGCACAGACATCCCGGACAGAACAAATTGCCTCCTAGGCTGCCAATTGAATAGCCTTGGACTACAGTCTCGCATTTTTTCATCACCGAGATAATTA